CTTCGGAATATGGACCGCAAACCATACGCGGATGCTTCTTTGTCATCACGGATGCTTCTTTGTCATCGCGGCTCATCCTTCGCGTCCTCCTCCGCGTCCTCGTAATCCAATGTTTAAACCAGACTGTCTGAAATTAGCCTCGCGATTGTCGGTGAAATTTAAAAATCGCAATTATACGACCGGACCTGCTAAGAGCAGGGGTGGCCCAGGACACGGTTTCCAGGACATCCTCAAAGGCGGCTCTTACGCTGATGTCGCGGCTCGTGAAAAGCGCCCGTGTCTCCTACAATTAACGCGCCGTCCGCCCACCCCGTATTTCCTTCTATGACCTCTTTTCCGGTTTTGTGCCGGCTAAGTACGCGTTACGTCTTTGACATACTCGTTTGTGCATAGGTTATGCGCCTCTCCAAGAGTCGCCTCCGCGTTTCATTGCCGTTCTTTGTCCAGGATGTTGTGACCTGAGATGAGCAAAATCGATCTCGGTCTCGATTTTGCATACTTAAGTCTTCCAGATCTTGATCTTGCTCAAGCAAGTACTTGTCTTGCATGGTCCAGCCTCGGTCTTGGTCTTACTCTGAGGAAAAAGAATTCATTGAGCCAAAGAAATATTTCTTTTATCAGCATCAAAGAAATCTGTGGTTAAATCCAAGAATAATTATTTCACTCAATTATATATTGTCATACTTCCGAATAAGTGTTTATTTGAGTTAAATAATTATTCTTTAAATTTACAGAATATACTTATTTGGTTCAATAACACTTTTTTTTTCTCCGTCTACAAGTTTTGAATTTCTCTTTTTTTCTCTTGCACGTTTGGCACTTTTCACTTTCCGCATTTTCTTCACCTTTTGCAAAAACCAAGACCGATTTTGATCTCCACTAGCAGTGCCAAGAAATAGGACCGACCTACAGGATGAGATCTCGATTTCAGGAAATAGATCATCCGCATCTTTCCTTACCTCGAAAGTGCATAAGGTATCAGGTGCCCCCCTCGCCGTGGAAATGCGCGCCGACTTGGATGCACTTTTCCCCCGAAATAAACTGGGCCATAAATTCTCCCGCCCCTCCAGTTTCCGATGCATTTCCGGCATACCCCGTCCATCCTTCTGTTATCCTTCGACAGAGTATAAGGAACGGAAGCGCATTTCTGGGTTTGCCGCCGACTTCCATTAAACCGCCGTGAGGTTATCAGGAAAGATTTAATTATTCGGGATGACTCGTCGGGTCTACTTGCAGCGAGTGCTCGGCCAGTTCTCGAGGAAACAACTTTTGGCGATATCACGCTGCGGAAACGTGCCCCGAGGATTGATTATAATCAAATGCTTCAACCCCGTCAGGAGAGAAATGAGGTTTGGACGCGTTTATAGCGCGGATTACCGAAGAGCGGACTAAATTCGAAAACTCCCCCGTAATAAGGATAAAATTGAAAAACTCGGAAAGGGAAAAGACTGCACGCTGAATTTTTTCAAAAGGCCTCGTCTCACTTTTTTCGGGCTTACCGATAATCGACTCTCTAACGAGAGACGACCTCTTCAGGGCGGCGGCTTTAATGCACGTCCAACACCGACGAAATTAGATCAACAGATCCTTCACGGTTAATTAGACTGTTTAATAGAGAGGCGCAATTTAGCGGAGAGGATCGCGATGAAATAAAACCCCGATGAAAATAACGGCGAGACCTCGCGGTGCAATAATTACGGCTCGTCGTTACTGGCCAATCAGCGCTTATAGGGTCTTCTTGGCTAGCTCGATCTAAGGCTAGTAGATAAATTTAGCACGCTCAAAGTAATTAACAAAATGGCCATTAACGTCGTTACAGCCCCCGTTGGTAAAGCGATGGAATTGGGGATCTCGAGGGCGGTTACTCGTTACTCCTCTGCGTGCTCATTTTAATTGTAATCAATTTCAAGGAAATTGGAAAAATGTACGCGACACGGAAATCGAGGAGGCCATCGGGCATGAAGCGAGGCGAAAGACTGTTCATAAAGTTATACGAGCCATGAACTACTATAAACTTGCAAAAGAATTTTCAATTATGCCAGCGGTCTCCGACATAATGGCCGCGCATGCCGCCGGTCTTACGACACTTTTAATACCAGGTTGTATATTAATTTTTTCCATTATAACAGAAATCCCAGGGCGCGTAAAACGGCTCGATCTAAACTTCGCTGGGTTTAAGGGCTTTATTTTCATTCGAAATCGAACCTTGAGAAGCCCTCGAGATAGCGAAACCCCGTAGAAGACGTCGGAGGAAAGAAGCGAGAGGCGAGGTGAAGAATCGGGAGAGGTTAAGGAGGACTGTTCGTCAGGATATACGAGACAGGGATTGCCAACCGAGACGAACGAGAACCCGATATCCGCGAGGTTGGCAGGTCCGAAAGGTGATAACGACGGTTCGCGGTTTTCCATTATCACGGGCTGCGATAAAGAATCGGAACGACCGAAGACTAGATTAAAGATTCTCTTTCGGCGCGGTCTAGTAAAGGAGGCAAGGCCTGTCCTCTGAAATTCTCTAGGGCAGCATGTTCAGGAATCGCCTAGGGAATTCGCTAGTTCCAAGGCTCTTCCTTTTCGATCTGATTTTCTTCTTTTTCTCTTTTTTTTTCCTCCATCGAGACGAGCAGAGACGAGGGAGGGACCCGCGTACATCACTCCGCGGATTCCCCTAGAAAAAGGGGGATCCTGGTGGGCTTTGCGGGGAACTTCGATGTTTCTCCGCGTTACTTCCGCAGGGGGAGCGATCGGACATTTCCTGGGAGTTTCGGAGTTATTATCGAACATCTTTCGCGGGAAAGAATCCAAAAGAATCCTCGTTGAAGTCGATTTACCCGATCCTTCCGCGCGCTTTCCTCCCCTGTGTACCTAACTTCTATTTCGACATATTTTTTTTTCCCAGACACCGCATGGCACTTAGTCACTGTCGGATATTAAATCCTCTCGTAAACTCTCGAAAACTCTTCTCGTGCATGCGAAATGGGACACCTTAGAAACCGCTGACGGAATTCGTGGAAGTTCCGGATCCGCGGAACTGGCGGGGATTTTCTGGGCTTCGCGCGGTTGGTTCTCAAAACAGTGACTTCCACGACGATTGGATTCGGCGGTTTCAATTCGCCCCTAGGGTCTGGGGAAATTAAATAGAGAAGTAAACCCCGTGCCGGCCGTAAAGTAAAATTGTTATCGTTGCTCGTAAAGGCAGTGGGAACGTCGCTCGTACGTTCTTTATTATGTATATTGGGCAATAAAGTCGAATCCTTCAGCTCGCAGGACTGGGACGTTGTTACTCGATTTCACCAGAATCGTAAACCCATTCATAGCTCGCGATTTGGTCGATAATCATAACGTTGCAAATTCGGCTCCAAACTCGCGCCTCTTGGTGAGATCTGCGATTTCCCACATCGGGTGCAAGCGGACGCCTAGGGGAAAATGACCGATAGGAAAATTTACACTTACTCTAGCCGGAACGTTGTTACTCGATTTTATCCGATATCCGTAAACCCATCTGCAGCTCGCGATTTGCTCGCTAATCATAACTTCGCGAATTCGGCTCCAAATTTGCGTCTCAGTGATATTTGCGATTTTTTATCTCGGGTGCAAGGGAACGTCTGGGGGGAAATTACCGATAGGAAAATTTACACTTACACTGGCCGGGACGCTGTTACTCGATTTTATCCGAATCGTAAACCCATCTGCAGCTCGCGATTTGCTCGCTAATCGTAACTTCGCGAATTCGGCTCCAACTTTGCGTCTCAGTGCTATTTGCGATTTTTTATCTCGGGTGCAAGCGGACGCCTAGGGGAAAATGACCGATAGGAAAATTTACACTTACACTGGCCGGGACGTTGTTACTCGATTTTACCCGAATCATAAACCCATCCGCAACTCGCGATTTGGTCGCTAATCATAACATCGCGAATTCGGCTCCAAATTTGCGTCTCTTAGTGATATTTTTGATTTTTTATCTCGGATGTAAGGGAACATCTGGGGGGAAATCATCGATGGGAAAAATTACACTTACAATGGACACGGCCCCGAAATTCGGTGGTCGAGAGTGCTCGGCAGAAAAGCCGCTTTTTCGCGGTGACATTCATAGCGAGTTCTCGTGATTATTGCTCGCTGCGTTGATTATTCTCGAAATGGAAATGGGGCTGAAATGGGAGCTTAATCGAGCGGGCCTGGACAGGAGCCGCGAGTTCACGCGAATTCGCGAAAACTGCTAAATCCGACAGCTAACGAGCCACAAAAGTTTTCCGCGAGAGCGCAAATACTGGACGGGGTGGTTTATTCCCTCGGAAATGGAGATTATGGGTCCCCGTAAAGGCCCTCCAATGGGGACTTTTTATTATTCAATTAATTTCAGACGTTGGCTGTCCTGGAAGTGCGTCTTCCAGGTCGAAAGTTTATTTAAAGCTGGCTAATAATTAAATGTCTCCTCGAGTAGGTGTCCGAAGTCTGAACTTGCTTACCGCGGAACAATCGCGCCCCTGAAGTTGTCCCGACCTGCTTCAGTGGGGAACTTTTCCCTGGAAGCGGAAACTTCGACGAGATGCCTCTAAAAGACATCAAAAGATCTCGAATCAATTAGAGGACTCCTCGAACGGAAATTAGTTGGAAACTTTGCCCGCGGAATAATAAAGACGAGCACTACAAGCGTTGGGTGTTGAAGGGGCACCGTGAATGAAGAGGCTGAAAGAGCGACTCCGTGACAAACTTGTATGAAAATTATTTTTAAAAAATTCAAGCGAGCGTGAATACGTCGTAGGAAACTTCAGGGTGGATCAGGGAGGGTGGAGGACCCGAGGGTTCCCAGGATTAATGGCTGCTGGGAGAAAAGTTTCTCTTTTCAAGATACATTTATATCCGGGATGAGAAATATTTCTGACGATTATCATCCCGATAACGAGAGACTTTTTCTTCCCGGTGACTAATTTCCCTCTTAAATTTGATTTGTAGTGGGGTCTCGGTGATCAGCCATCGGAAGTCCTCTCCGTCCGATGGCCAAGATGAGCCTGCAGGAGGTCCTTTCGGTATTGCTGTTGCTGGGATGGTGCGAGAGCTACGAGAGCTACTTGTGGCGCGAAAACGACGAGAACACCAAGCTCATCCGCATAGCCGGCGACATCATCTTCGGGGGCATCTTCCCGATGCACGAACAGGTACAATCGATGCTCTCCTTAAAAACATCGCAATACGATTTATGGCCACATTTTTCGAATACAGAAAATTATCCATTTCAATTTAACCCCTAAATCCTGGATTCATGTGATTCTTCATCTCACCGGCAGAAATTTCAATCTTATTCGGTTCACTAAGGACCTCGAAGTTCACGTTTCTCGTTGGATCCTCAAAATCTGTTTAAAATCTTCACGTGCGTCCATAAGGCTTACACGAGGTAAAAATTCGTCAGGTTGCCTTCGACGTTCCTCCAGGTTCGCAAGAAACGTCGGAAACTTTTCCCGGCAGCATCGGCTCCAATTCGAAATCGAAATTCCATCGAGGCCCGAAGTTTCGGTCGGCGAAACTTCGCCGCTGATTTTCGCCGAAGGCATTTAGCATTCCGACGAGGCTGGAACTTCTTAAAATTCAATTCGTCCTTTAACGACGTCACTAACGCATCGACCTCTGGACCGCAGGGGGTTAACAGTTTCGAAGAGCCAATAAATTAGGCTCGACTAGTTCGTTTGTATTCCGAAACTTCAACGTTGGGCGAATCGGGTCTTGCGTCCGGGAGTTGGCTGTCATTAGGATTCCACGAGCAAGTTGGGCAAATTCAATTTCACTTAACAACCGAGCGCGCACGGGGGGCGTTCAGATATTAATAATCCGTGCGGTAATAACGATTCGGTATAAAGGCGGGATCGTTAATCGCGTAGCCGGGGCTTCGAGTTCCGGGGAACGGGCGATGGAGATACAAACGAATTTCCGGAAGTTTGAGCTTTCGTTATTTGCAGGTTGCAGGAACGGCGAACCAGTCACCCTGTGGGGCCGTCAAAGAGGAAAAAGGGATCCAACGTTTGGAGGCCATGTTGTACGCCCTGGACGAGATCAACGAGGACATCGAACTCCTGCCCAACACGACCCTGGGGGCCTTGATCCTCGACTCCTGCAGCAGCGAGACTTACGCCCTGGACCAGAGCATGGAGTTCGTCAGGTCTTACATGAACCAGGTGAGTCCATGAAGAAATCTTCTTCATCTGGTGGTTTTAGGAGCTCAGGTCGACCTCAAAGCCCCATCGTCGCCGGCAGCAGCCGCATTCAAGGCTGACGGGGCGATAATGCAAAATCGATCGGACTCTCATTATTTATTCCCCGACGTCGCCGGGAGTTTTGGTACGCGTATCTTCACCGACGACGTCTCTCCAGACTGCTCGGTTTTCATACTTCCCCGCCATTCCTGCCCTGAGAAAAAACGTTCACTGACTGAAAGAAATATCCATTGCTACAAGGAAATCAGTGCGACGAAATACGTCCAAAGAAATGTCAGGAGGAAAAGTCGGCGAACAAAATTCGATTAAAACAACGATATGATTTTTCTTCTCAAGGAAATAATTGTTTCTTACAATTATATAATCCAAATAACGATATATATTTGTTTCAGTCAACTAATCTTTCTTCTCAGCGCACGAGAAAAGAGAGAAAAAATTCCGGTGCCGCCCCTGTCGTTCGGATTTTTCGGTATATTGCATCGCGAGAAACATCGGATTTTACCGATTTCTCCGACGAAATACGATTGCCTGCTCCTGAAGGACCGGTCGATAAAGATCCCTCGCCTTATGAAATCGCTTTCGATAACTAGCTCGCGCTTTAATAGGCGCCCATAAATTCGATTACTATCCACCAATCGGACCGTAACCACCTCGCCGCGTTTCTCGACTCCGTATATCTGTATGTATCCATGGTATATTTATCTATATACGGGGGATATGTACGGATGAATGTCTGTAACTTATGTGACCACCCTCGCGTGTATGTCGAGGTACCTAGAGGCGCCCTTTGCGAGCGCCATGTCGTTTGCAGGATGCGAACGAACCTTCATATCCGAGTGACACGTGTAGGATAATCCCGAGTGTGCACAATAAGACGAACAGCTGATCGGGTGCTTCGGGCCGGTGAGGGGCGCGAAGTTTCATAACTTTCATGGAGAGGGTGAGTCGAACTTCCCGCAAGCCGGAGGATTTTATTTTTTCTTTAATTTATTCTCCCTCCGGATTCTGCGCACCTCGGGATTCGAACTGTACACGTGGGGAATAAATTTCCTTCGTTAAACAAATTCGTTTAATCGAGGCGATTGGTTTATTTAAAACAGCGTTTCGGTTAAGGGCATCGAATTTTACTTCATTTGACGAAACTCGTTTGCTTTGATCAGCTAAGATGTTTTGGTTACATCGTATCATTAATACCCTCAGAAAACGGCCTTACTTAATAAATGAAATATTTCGGCAAAAACGTATCGAATTGCTTGAATACTTTTGAGTGGTCAATGATATTTGATGTAATCAAAGGAAAATTATTGACCAAGGAATTTGTCGTATTAGTCAGACATTTGGTTGTCCATATGATCGCCGTATTTTAAGGTTGGATATAAAAACATTTAATTAATTCAATCAAATATTTTTCTGTTTGTAGCGTGTAAACGACAGCTCAATTGCAGCTCTGCGTAAAGGGAGTACATGCACCGCGCGGTTGCATAGGAGGCCGCGTAACGTACGTTTATTTGCGCTTCCATCTTAAATATATATTTCTATGCGTGCATGGCCTGGGGAGGAAGGCGGAGAAATTACTCGATCCGAGAGAAATAACTCTTCCCCGATCCGGAGGAGAATTCTCCCTAGAGCCCGCTTCACCTCGGATCAATGCTACCGGAACAGGAAGAAACCTTCCTACGTGGGTTCTTGAGAACACCCTGGAAGCCGCTTCTTTTTTTTTCTTTCTAATTCTATCTAATTTCCCCAAAATATGAAGCTTCACATTTACTTCCTTTCCAGCAGGGAAACTAGCTCGATCATAATAGCTCGAGTGCTAGGGATAATTCGCCGCGTTTAATCAGCCATCTAGGGAATGTCGCTGCTCAGTTCACCCAGTATGAGTAGGGAGGGGAGCTGTCTAGTACATTTCTGATGCCCTTCGTTAGGAATTCCCTATCCGGAGAACTGAGGTGCGGCGTAGTGCAGACAACTTCCATCCTAGGAATTTCTAAGGATAGTCAAGCATCGAGTCAAGTAGTCCTCCAGCCGCCACTGGGAGCTCAGCTCTGGTAACTTTCCCTAGCAACATAAGGTACAACGGTACTAAAATGGCATTCAAATATAGATGCGAGGGTGGAAGCGCCCTGGCCGACCAACTTGCGAAAACTCGGTGTCGCCCTGTGTCTCTCCAATCGTTTCGGAAATATTTACATAGCTATAATTGAATCTACAGGGCCGAGCGAGACTCGCGAAATGTGACGATTTTCAGCGGAGTGGGAGTGTTCCCCCCGGCGATGGGAATACAACTGTGGTTATCACAATTTTAGTCCCCAGGACTGCATTAAAATTAATTTCCGAGGAGAGCGATCAAGGTGCACTCGACGCCTCTCTTTGTTTGTCAGGAGTCGCGACTTAGATGCGAAATTAGGCTTATAAATCCTACTTTTTTTTTTCTTTTATTATTTAATCCTGTCGGTGACAGATGATATGTGAATTAGTAATGTCGGACAGTTCCTCGCGTCGGTTTTTGCGATAAGGGAGCAATTTAGCCGATAAACCCACATAAGGAAGGGCCGGGTTCGAGCCTTTCCCTGTAAGCCCCTCGACTGCGCGGACAAACCTTCGGCGGATCGGAAAACGCTCCTCGTTTGCCGGATAAGACGGATAAGGAGGCTTCTGCCGCGATCCAATTATCTAGCCTAGATGCCTTCGAAGGATTAGATCAATGGACGCGGAGTCGCACGCGGCTTTTGGCCTCTGCCGCACTCGAAAAGCTCCATCCGATCCGAAGCTTTCCTCCATGATGTTCCTTTTCCCAGATAACGAGAGGGACAACGAAATCGTGGATAACGAGGTCGAGTACTCTCACGAGTGCGTACTAATTTTCATGAAGCAGGTGTATATTAAAAAAAAAAAAAAAGACGTTAGAGGTGGTTCCAGGTCTGACCTCGATGAGTTGCAGAAGCAGGTCGGTGGGTTTGGTTTGGATTTTCTCTTTGCAGTGCGGTTATTCGCAAACCTACGGGGTAGATCGTTTAGGGAATCGATAATTCTTCGGAGCTGGCTCTCTTCTTGTCGGGATGCGATCCGTTACGGTGACGTAAATGCACCACGTCGGATGCACCCAGAGTACTCGGTACGTTTAAGCTTTCGTGCCGCGCGGATCGGAAAAGCAGGGCGTCCTTAAAGAGTGCCGCGAGGCACTCTGCAAGTACTTGGTTCGGATATGGGACCGCTAAGTACAGCTTTCCCTTCATGAAATCCAGTCTGACATCCGTCGCGACAATGCACCTGACACTGAGTGATTTTCCTTTCGCCCGGCCGCTTTCTGGAAATTTTACGAATTTTCGAAAACGGCCGAAATACCGAGTTTCAGACGTCAGACGTGCAATGTTTGCTCTCCGAACAAAGAGGTGCATATCGCACCACCTTTGATGTCGTCACCATGGCGATGTGCATCCCACGTTTCCGGAACAGAGGGACGCGTCGCATTTCCTTGGCCTTATGCGTTTTGCAGAGAAATGGTAACATCCAATCTGATGCCCCGAGATGTTCATCAGATGGCGATTCCCTGATCGGTTGTTTTCAAAGCACACGTGGTCGATCGGTTTGGATCTTTTTCGAGTTCGATCTTTAAGCTTGTTCAGTACCTAAGAAGGGGTTCGTTCGTTGGCCCGGAACTTGGAAAAGTTTGGGAAGCTGCGGTGCCATTTAAGCCCTCCGTCGGGGCATAATCTCCCAGCGACATAAAGCTCCAGACGATATAAAGTCACGGTCACGTCCGATCGGGAGAGATTCCCGATATCCTTGGGAGTCTCAAACATCCCAAGGGATCGCTTCCAGTTCCTCGATCCCGAAGGATATTAAAATTTCCAGGACTCAGCGGTCTCTCTTCGCCAAGACGGACGGCCTTTTCATTTATGCCACTCTCATCGCTATCGTCTTCTCCGGATTTATCACCCCCCCCCCCCCCCCCCCTCGTGGAGGTCCTGTGCCATTCAGGGTTTTAAGGATACTTCTTTGCGGAAGAGAACGGCAGGATTCCTCGAAATTAACGTCTCGAACCCTCTGGGGACTTTCTCAAAGGTGATTCCACAGTTGGAGCTGTCGATCCACTCCTTGTTCTCAACTTTCCCCGAGGATACGTTTCGCAGGATTTCCCTAAATTCCGACATTGCGTTATTAATCGCCACGTCGGTTTCCGGTATAATCTCCGGTAATTACATTTCCAATAACATCCCCTCGTGTTTTCGCTCCGGATCGAGAAGTCCTCGAATCCTCTTTTCTCCCTTTTCCTTGCAGGAGGGTCGCCCATATTTTCTCGTTTCTCGCACCCTGCGTCTATGTCGTTCCTCCTCCCTCCGCCATCTTGGCCCATTGTCCCTCTCTCTCTTGATCTCCACGGCCCTTCACCTACCGGAGGGAGATTCCCGCAAGAATAATAGGAACAATGGATACTTTCTGCAGACGCGTGCGCGCCTCCCCTCGCTCGAGCGAATATTCCGAAAGGGAAACGGAAGGAGACTCTCTCTGGAGAATGAGCGAGGGGTGACGACGCTTCGTACAGAAAGGCCGACCTATCGTCGACTTGTTCCCCTTAGATAGTTGAGAAACGGGCCGATTTCTATGCCACGTGTCCTATCATTGGCAGGAATATGATAACGTAAAATGAAACGGAGGCGAGTGTTGATTTCCATGATATTTTTCCCAAGAGGCAAGAGAACAATTATTAAACATTTTTATTTAATTCCAATAGCTTAACAACTCTCGCTCTGGCGAATATTCTAAAAGGAAAATAGAAGGAGACTTTATCCGATAAATGAGCGAGAGGTGATAACGCTTTACAGAAAGGCCGACCTATATGGTAACGTGAAATGAAACGGAGGCAAGCGTGTTGATATTCATATTTTTTCTCAAGAAGCAATAAAATAATTATTCATAATTTTTATTTACCTTCAATGGCTTGACATCAGGTAACTTCGCATATTTAGGAAAAATGAGGATTGTTAATTTTATTTAATCTCAATGGCTTGTTATCAGCGGATTACTCTGGATACGCCGATGGCTTTTAAGATCGACTTAGCAGGGTGCGAGTGCACGTGCGCGTAATTAATTCTGCATACAGTGGGTACATTACGGTGATGGCAAGTGTCACCTGTTGCCACTGTCAGTCCCTGCCAGCTACTAATGGTCGCCTGTAAATTATTACAATCAGAGGTATCTAGGGACGATGTAGCGGAATAGTTACAGCCCCGGGCTAATTGCTCGTACTAATTTCCACTAGTCGAGGCTTAATAGTTTGCGACGTGCTCGTCAGCATAATTCGGGACATGAAAGGAGCATCTCCCCGTGCATAAATAAACTGACAATAGTTACATATTAAATATTTCTCGGATATTTTCCCAGGGAGGGTGAAATTTCACGGTCGGTGAGCGTTAACTCGTAGCGACCTTGGGGGGCCGTGATAAAATTAGCGAAATGGGTTCGTCGTTATACGGCAACGAGATCGCGCCTTGAAGAAGTTCTTGAAAGCCGCGAGGTAATGGAAACTTCCTTAGGAAGAAAATGGAGGAGTTCCGGGAGAAGAACGGGGTGACGCGGCCAGCGAAAGGAGGAAGTGCTTTACTTAAAACTTAAGGTGCATTTCCATGGCGATAAATTTCCCCGGACGCGGTTCATGATGCACCGCTTTTCCGTCCGTCAGCTTTAAGACTCCTTGCAGTGATATCATGGGCGTGGCGATGACTTTTGCAGTCCTGAAACGAGCTCATCTAAAATGAAATATTCCAAGATGGACTGTCGTTGATGGTTAAAATTTATTTATACGGGGTCGTGCTCCTCCCAGGGCATCGATTTTCTTTTTTAAGGCACTCGGTATTAGGAAAGATGACACGGGAAGTCTTTTTTCTCCGCGCCTTGAAGCAGGTCGGGTGTCGGGGTCGAGTATGAAAAATGATAAATATTTATTGGGAGGGGAGTGGAAAGCCGTGCTGGCAGGTTTTCCTCGGGGCTCTCTTATGATTTAGTCAAACACTTGCTCCGGGGCCAAAGGAGGGCTCGATCCATCGATTCGCCTCTTATACGCCGGGATCGCGCGAAAATAATAGCTGCCCCTTATTTCGCTCGTTGATCATCCGCGAAAAAAGGTGTCCGCCCTCGGGACCCTCGAAATTTCCTCCCGAAATTTTAGCGACTCCCCCCTCGAATTTTTGCCTCGAAAATATTTATCATCCGAACATCCAGGAATATTTCTCGCGATCTCGTGCAGCGTGCACTTTGGTGAACATTTTGGGCGGACTAAGAGCGGGGACTAATCGCATTTTTGGAGTCTGAAAGCTCCGAAAATTCCCCACGCTGTACGTGCACGAGTCATTAACCTCTTTCTGCCAAGCCGGCCTGCAAAGTAGTGGGAAATATTCAACGCCATTTCCGGCGGAAATTGAATTTTGACTCTAAGGAGACACCCGCGTTAGCGACTTGGATGAAAATGGAAATTACGTCAAGCGCTGACGGACTTTA